TGTTATTATTATTTAGATCATTATACCTTTTGAGTGCGACGACAGAGCGTCTAACTACAGGCGTTGGTTTTTCAGTTCATCAATGGTTAAACTGGAGCATTTGAAATCCGACGTCTCTGTCTTGGTTTCATATTCCTTCTTCATTGGGTTTTTTTTTTTCTTATGACTAAAATATTCCTGTTTAGCATTAAAAAGTTAGGAATTCTGTTCCTTTTTTCTCTTTTCACTGCTTAAGATGTTTGCGACGACTGTATCACGCATCTGTTAATAAACCGTTCAATGTGAAATAAGTTTGATATTTGGTCGCATTTAAGGACATGCGAACTAACACTGATTTAGGGGGTTTCCAGAAATCTCGACCACACCAAAAGTGGGCACTACCCTTCGTATAGGAGAAGTTTGGTTTCATTGGTGTATATATCTGTTTGGTTATAGCGAAAACTCGCCTTGTCTTTTAAAGAAAATGAACAAGGGGCAAAAACTTTTCCTTTGATTCTCTCAAAACAGCATTTTTCGGGATAGCCCCTTTGTGCTTAAAAGCGACCATTTCGGAACCCGCAACAAGTCACCGACATGTATAGTTGTCTCCACGACTACTAAAACAGGGGTTATAAAACTACGTATGGCCAGCCCTTCTGTATGACTGTGTGTATCTTAAAAACAGCACTTAGCCACGGATAACTATATCCTTGATTTGAAAAAAAGCATTATTGTTTAAGATTAAGAATGCTGGACAAGTTTTCCAATAACAGTAAGTGAAAACGAAATAGAAGCAACAGAAATGTGGTTTTTTAAGAAATGGTGAAATGGTATAGGTTTAACGCTACTGGTTTCTTCAGAGACTTTTGAGAATGTCATGGCTGGACAAGAATTCTAAAGAGGTAGTACAGAAAGAAGAGAAACCCGCGTTGGCTGCTCAAGTATAAAAATACAATTAGAAAAAGTCAAGAAATGTATGATCGCTTTTAAGCACAAGAGGGCTATCCCGGAAAATGCTGTTTTGAGAAAATCGAAGGTTACGTTTTTGCCCCTTGTTCAGTTTCTTTAAAAGACGAGGAGAGTTTTCTCTATAACCAAACAGATATACACACCAATGAAACCAAACTTCCCCCATAGGTAGGGCAATGCTCACTTTTGGTATAGGTCAAGATTTCTGGAAGCCCCGAAATCTGGGTTAGTCCGCTTGTCCTTAGAAGCGACCCAATTGGACACTTGACTTGACATAAAGGCCTTGCACATTTTGTTCTCACTGGAAAAAATAAAAGGTAAACGAGGCATATTAAGTAGACCCACAGGGACTTACTTGGAAAACCTGAGCAAGTGGGCGATGGGAAAAGACCAGGATAAAAATGTAGGTTTCTTTTTTTAGAGCGGTTGGTTTGGTTTCTCCGTCCTCTTGTACCTCAAGGGCGTCGAGTGGAGAAAGAGCTTCCTTTCCCTAGCAAGTTTGATGGCCTGGCTGGGTGGGATATTGGATGTTCTCAGAGTATCCTTCTCACACTGGATCCGGGACTTTCTTAGTCTTCCTGTTGCTTTGTACCCTGACAGTTTCCTATAGTAGGCTTTACTGGCAAGCTGATTTTTAGAGCATCCAAACGAAAAGGAAAACGTGAATGGAGAGTCATGACCACCAATAACTGTAAGAGATCTAACACGTTATGGTGACTAAGAGGACTGATGGGTTTTTCCCCGGTCAACACTGTGAGATTAGTATCCACATGATGTTATTCATTACCAAAAATATAGTGTACAAAATACGACTATATATATATATATGTGTGTGTGTGTGTGTGT